CCACGGGGGCAGTGTAAGTACGAGGGAAGTCACCAAGCGGGACAGAACAGAATTGGGTGAGGGGGAAAAAAAGTGTGTTTTCTGGATCCTGATTCTAGTTAGCCAAGGGCTGTTATTTTTTCCTTTCTGCAAATCTGAAATTTGTTTCAGTTGTGAAGTCCCCAGAGGACTTTGTGTTCCAAAAGATTAAAATGTCTTTGAGATTATTCTGTTTAACAGACCAAAAATTGTTTGAGGCAGGAAGCACTAATTGTTAGCTAACGTGGGCTTTCTGATGTACAAAATTACAGAGATGCCAAAATGTAGCAGCTGAATTCTGGTCCAACATTCAGCACTAGAAGTCTATAGAATTTACATAGTGAGTAGCAGCAACTTTCCCTCAACACTAGGTTTTTCAATAAAATTGACCCTATTTCCCCATTTTCAATGCAAGTCACAAGAACAAAGCACTAACGAAACTGGCTCGGGATACTTTTCATTAAGAAACTTCATTACTTGGAAAGTATATACAGGTGTGGAAAGTACAGCGGCTCTATAAGGCCAACTATAGGATTTTGCAGAAATTAAGACCCACAAGCCATTGAGAAATTGTTCCTACTGAGGGCTAGACAGCCCCCAGACAATTTTAGTTTAATTTTTCCATTACAAAACCAGAATAGTTCTTTGAACACAGATGTGATGACACTGACCAAGGAGCACGACTGACAGCAGCCAAACACATTACCTAATCAACATGTCTCATGTGTACAGCATATCAACAAGTTCCAGGACCAGAATGAATCCCTCACAAGATGCATCAGAGTAGCTTTCTATATCTACATATTGGCTAGCTTTGTTTAGAACGTGATTTTCAAGCAACTGAATCACTGAGATTATATGCAATGGAAATTGGGGCAGGACTTTTCTTTAGAGTGGGGAGAAAGCATTAGCAGTGTGCTTACTGTGAGCAAAAGCTGAACGTCCTAGGACACTGGGTGACTAGGGGCTATGCAAGAGTGAGTGTCACCTCCTTTACTGCTGTGAAAATGAATGGGACCCTCTTTCAGCCACATCAACAACATCTGTGTGACTATTTGATATGGGTATGGATCACTATATGAACAAAGGTTAATGAGTAGTTCAGATCCCCCTGTTTCTGGTAAATGTTTAGTGGTTATTCGTTTGTATATATAAAAATGAAAATCCAGTGCAGTAAGGTCAGAATAATTCTACTTACATTCATCAGATCGAAGTGATCAGGACTTCCCCACTCACTAAAATGAACTCCATTCCCCAGAAAAGCCTAGTAAAATAAGCTTTGCAGGATGTCCTGAAGATCAACAAATCCAAGTTCTCCTAAACTAAAAATAAAGAGTGGTCTGCAGAAGAGAAAGAATGGGGTCCAGAATAAAGGGCCTCCTCACTGCCAGCATCCCCATCATTTAAACCAGAGGGCTCCAAGTCCATTTTCTCAGCTGACGACAGCAGAATCACATGACGAGAGAGATGGACCCAAATCACATATGGCTTTATAGGTTAAAAAAAACGTGAGCCTCCATGTTGACATCAATTAGCAGATAGTGCAGACCCCAGAGCAGAAATGAAACTCTGCTTAACAAAGCAAACAGCAACAGCTTCAATTTCCAAATGTTCATTCGGTGTAGCACCAGGTACAGTGCAGTGGAATAACCCAAACTTGAAATTGGAAAGACTTCAATACCCCAGCAGGTACACCACTAAGAGACATTACAGACCTTGTAATATAAAATGATTAAGAACAGATGCAACAGAGAATCCAACAAGCACCCCAAGTTGTGACCCACAGTAGCAAATGATAGGTATTCCCACTCAGTCAAGAGTGCAAAGAAAAACTCTGCTATTTCAGTTGCTTCCTCCAGATAAGCAACCTTTCAGTCTTTCTTAGATAACGTCACAACAAGCTAGTCCTCATCCAATTGCAATCTATATTAAGAACTGTGCAAATTGCTTAACAGAGGGAGAAATGGGTTTCACCCAGTCTGAAGACAATACAGCCTCCCAAAAGCAACTCAGTTTTTCACTGCTAGATCCCACAGACACATCACTGAAGGCACCTGATCTAGATATTAAAACAGGAAGAGCACAGACTTGTTCTTTATTTATTGGTTAGAGCACAAGACTGGGACCAAGGATTCATCTGTGCCATTAACTTTCTGTGTGGCCTTAGGAAAGTCACTTAAAACTCTCAGCCTCCAGAGAGACCAGATTTATCCTAGTTTATAGATAAGTAAACTGAGTTACCTGGAGGTAAAGTAATATTCATAATGTGCTTTGAAATCCACAGATGAACAGATATGCAAACAAATTGTTGTATGATTCTCGGCACCAATGCCAATTCATACAGCTTTCCAAAAATATCACTGCACAGGATAGAAAAGGAAGCACTAGTTCTAAGCAGCAAGAACAGGAACTTTAAGGGGTTGAATTTTAAACAGAGTATAGGTTCATAAAAAGCCAGTGCACAATTTTCATGAGGACCTATTGGCTTTAGATGTGGGGAGCTGGTATGCAAGTGCAGTGCCTAAATTATTTCTATTCAATAACAGGAACTGGAGAATGGGGAGCCAGTATCATCCAACCATCAATTTTGAAACTTGATTCACTCTCCAGCTTGAAATATGGAATACAAGTGACATGAGTTGCTCAGTGGGTCACCTCTTTTACCAGAAAATCCACGGGAAGGTGGGATTGAAGACAAGACCTGGAGGAACCAAGATAAAACCTTTTACATAACTGGTACAGCCACCTTGAAAATCAGTGCTCCTGCTACTGTCATTGTTGCTATTGTAGGTGAGGTTTTCAAACCACTTCAGTAAAATACTATCAAAATGAAAATGGCTAATAGACTAGAAAGAGATTAAACATGACTGGTTTCCCCACTGTCCTCCACCTGGAGCTATGTAAACATCTGCTTGTTTCCTTCTTTTTTTAAATTAATTGAGATATCCTATCTATCTCCTAGAACTGGAAGGGACCTTGAAAGGGCATGGAGTCCAGCCCCCTGCCTTCACTAGCAGGACCAAGTACTGATTTTACCCCAGATCCTTAAGTGGCCCCCACAAGGATTGAACTCACAACCCTGGGTTCACAGCTGAGCTATCCCTCCCCTCTTCAGATCAACAGATTGGAGTACCATTCAATTGCTTTTTGGAGAAGGAATGACTTCTCTAACTTAGGTTTCAGAGTAGCAGCCGTGTTAGTCTGTATCCGCAAAAAGAAGATCAGGAGTACTTGTGGCACCTTAGAGACTAACAAATTTATTAGAGCATAAGCTTTAGTCCACGAAAGTCTCTATGTTAGTTATGTTATGTTAGTCTCTAAGGTGCCACAAGTACTCCTGTTCTTTTTTCTCTAACTTAAAGGTCTTGAAGGCATGGCATTTGTGCCCAAGGGAGACTGACCTAATTGTGGGGGTAGGGGAAGAATAAGTGGTCAGGCTGCGATATTTTCATGTCCCGTGTCCCACTCATGTTCACATTCCTCACCTCTTTACCAGAGTAAAGAATGGAAAAAGGGGAACAATTCACTGAGTCACATTCTTCCCTCCCTGCTAGCCCCTGCATTCACACTGGAAAAATTCAAATCTTGTTTGGGAAGTCCTCATTCTGCAGCGATACACTGCACACAGAATAGAATAGGATCTGCAGTTCTCCTATCCCAGCAAACATTCAGATTACAGACAAAACAGAGTTTGGGGGAAACTGAGGTGTCAGCAGCTTTCAGTTTTATTAATCTGAAGGGACATGGATTGGGAATAATTTATTACTGGAATTTACCCATCCATTGGGTGGGCTCATGCTTAAAAGCACTTTCATCTCTGATTTGTAAGAAAGAAAGCATTCACCTGCCCTTCTCGTATTCTGATACAGGTGGCATTTCTAACAGGGACTCTTAAGGGAGAAAATGGAAAGTTGCCTGGATAGTAAATATCCTTACGAGAAATATTTTATTGAAACAATAGAGTGGGATTACTCCAACAAAAAAAATGGAGACAATCCCTGATTTTTCAGCAGTCCGGAGAAAGATTTATTTATGTATTGGAACTCTTATGACATTAAATATAAATATGAAATCAACTCATTAAATAAATGAAGCTACTTTAATGCGCTAAACAAAAATGTCACAGCCGACTGCCGTATCATGACCTAGTTTCCCAGTGGCCCAGAAAGACTTGAAATAAATCCTGGGTCCACTAGTTTAGACAAGATGATGAGAGCAAACCCTGACTGTCTTGCATGATTAAAGGCTGTCACAGCTCACTGGGGAGTAAGCTTTCCAAGGCACCCTTGTGGCATTGCTCTACGTGACTTGATACCAAAATAAGGGTGACAACCCCACAAAAGGGGAAAAAAAAAAAACGAACGACAGAGGTTTCAATACTTTAAAAAAAATATGCTGAGCATAAATGAAGTTGCTGTCATATAATTATCAGATTGATTTTCACTGAACAACATGTTAAAATGCTGCAATATGTTTTCTCATGCCAAGAGGAAATATTCATTTCAGGACATTTCTCTCACACTTTTACACCATGATGAAAATATAAAATATATTCCTGTGATAATTGTTACTTTAGTTCATTTGGTTTCAAAGGAGCATCTTTGACAAATGCATAGAAGACAAACAGTTCAGTATTCCTACCAGGCTACTAGTTAATGTCATTGCAATAGAACTCTACATACAGTATGGGAGGAAGACAGGTGTTTGGTCTCAGATACGAGAGAGAATACCAAATAAAACAGACAACTTTAAAGCACTTCACTATAAGTGAAGGCAACTAGACACCCAAACAGCCATTCCTGAATTACAGCCTTTGAATGGTAGGGGCTTCACATTTCAATGATCAGGGTACGGCCCAATCAGGAGACAAACCCCTGCACTGCCAGGGATCAGCAAATAGGCTGTGTCCCAGCCCTGCACATGACTAAATTTGCTTCTGTCCATCATCTGGGTCATATATAGTTCAATTCAAGTAGAGCAGACAGGGCTGCAAGGAAATCTGGAGCAGTTCAATACCTCGTCTAGCCTGCTTTTGTGCCTCTCATATTTAGTGACAAACTCATGGCTACATTTCTTTCTCAGAACAGAATACCATGCTGGCTGGGAGTGCTATTTCTACACTAAACGTGTATTTTGAGCTATAGAGAAGTTGCTCTCCTGTCTGCACCAGCTACAACTTTTTTTGGACAAAGATCCAACTACAAAAAGTCTTTAACCTAACAGTTTGGGACTACTCTGTTTCTTTCACTAGGTAAGATTTTTAATTGTTTAAATATTCTTTTAGATTATACCTGTTAGAGATATTGCGGAGACTTGTGAATAGCTTGTGTATTGAAATAGTCAGTGAATTTTTTCCAGTCTCATTTCTGCACGTGTTCCTTTGTTCTCGGAACAGAAGCTTTTTATATACATCTCATAATAACACACAGCTGGAGATAGTTATGAAACCAGTGAGTGCACGATGAACACAAAGGTTTTCCTGACAGTGTCTGCTTTAAAAAAAAAAATAGCAAGGGGGAAATTCAAAAAAGAAAAAACAAAGAATTCTGTAAAGTTGGAAGTTTTTATTCTGGTTAAATCTTTAGTTTTATGTAACCAAACACTTCTGTAGCCTGGAGGGTTAGTTGAGGCAAATATAGACAGAGAGGAACTGAGCCAGACATGGACAAAGGCATGAGCCAAAACCAGACAGTCCAGGTCGCTCAATAGGCCAGCAGTGGACGAGACAGGTCAGCCAGCTGCTGTGCAGAAAAAAAATGGATGTGTGAGGTGCTCATGCGTGCAATCGTGACTTGCTTCTCAAAATGCCAGCCATTTTCCCCAGCTGTGCTTTGTGCAATCTGAAGGAATGCAACACTAAAAACCAACTCTCTGCCAGAGCAAAATGAATTTTAAATAACAGTAATTAGAAAAACGGGGGAAAGGGTGTGGAGAATTTGAGAGAGATGGAATGTGTTGAGTGACAGGAAATGCCCCAAGCCTTCCCCCCCTTTCCAGTCGCGCCTGCTTTTGTCTAACTCTCGTAATCCCCACACTACTGCTTACAAAGCTGTCTGAGTTTAAGACAAAAAGAAACATAAAAGAGCCCTCTTTCATACTACCTGTGATATAGCAGGGGCATACACAGCACAGTCACTCGAATGGGTGCTAACACTCCAGACTTTCCCTTTTGCTTGCAGAAAAGAGAATAGTGTTCAATAATCTCTTAGCAACAGTTGTTATGAATTTTATTTCTGAAATATTTTTTGAAACAAGTGACAAAAATGCAGGAGAGGAACCTACAAGATTTCTGTCGCTGCTTGACTATGCTCATATAACCATTCATTTGTTTGTTCAGGGGTTTTGTTTTGGTTAAACTGCTCAGATTGAGTTACTTTCATTGTTTTTTGTAATACTCATAGAAACCACTATGTACATGACTATGGATATGTTCATCTTACAGTAAGTGAAGTTCTGCTTGCAGTTTTCACTAGATCATGAAATGTTTGCTGAAATGGTCTTTAGCTTATTTTTAGTATACTTGTTGTACAAAGTAACTGCCATTTTTAATTATGACTCTCTTTAATTGATTACTTGTATTAGAAAATTCTCAATTAAGGTATCTTTGTAGATTTAATTTGTACTGTGAACTTAAGAAACACTGTTTTCTCAACATTTTCATATCAGTCTCTTAAAGACTGAAATCAGAGCTTGTTTTTGTTTATTTAACTAGTATTATTTTAACCAATTTAAGAAATATACCATTTCATCCCCTTCTTCTGGCCAGAAATCTAAAACTATATATTAAAAATGATCAACGTGTTTAAAAATGTCAAGCAGAGTACTAAAAGCGTACTTAAAAACATTTCCACCCTCTGCATCTAAAGATTGCAGCTGTGAACCTGCGAGTTAGTTAAGCTTTCATAGCCTGGTTTGTAGCCTTCATGCCGAGCAGAGGTTATTCACATGGCTGTTCGAGAAAGTCCATTCATATATCTGACTACCTGGATTTGAATAGAAACCAGACAGCAATTCTTTAGTTCCAGCCACTATTCGACCCACTGGACAATAGAGATTTGTTAGCACACAGGCACAAGCTATAGGATACAAAGCTTAAAGCAGCAGAGAGATAGGGGGCTTCAGTGAACAGGAAATTACTGCTTTTGATGCACTATTGGCAGGTCTGCTGTTACAAAAAAGCAACATAACTATGCCATGTTTAAGAGCTACTGCTGCCATTTTTAAACCACTAGAATATCATAAAAGCTTTATAGTCACAGTACATAAAATCATGAAGTCCATATGGTCACTTTCCAACTATGAAAACTTCCCAGTGGACAGAAATGGAGAGCAATTGGAAAAGCAAGATATAGTTGGGGATTTTAATTATCCCCAAAAGAGGCTAGAGAGATTTTAAAAGACAAACTAAAGAAGCATTTATACTAACTATCATGAATTCTCCGCTGGTGTCTAGTATGAACAGTTTGCTTAGAAGACTCTTGTTACAACAGATCTGATTTAAATCAGTTAATAAGCTTTCACAAAGTTATAGAGAAGATAAGTGTAATAAATTCTTGTGTCAATTATTTAAAGGAACATGTATGAGTTATTTCAGCCTGGTGATTACCAAAATAAAACAATCCAAAAGCCAAACCTTAGACTTGGGAAAAGGTTTATCAGGTCCCACTGTCCCCTACCCCCAAACCCTTTAGAAGTAGCTCCTCAAAGGAAGGATGAACAACTCTCAAGTCTGAACCAATGAACGGAGTATAAAGACCAGCAGGCCCACCAGCAGAACTTCTTATATTAAGAGCCTGCTCCCAGGTACTGTCACATCAGCTGAGCACCAGAAGCAATTCCAATCTTTACCTCTATGACAAAGGAAGGTTGGAGGGTCTGGAGCGGAACAGAAAATGTTTATGACTTTCTATTCCAACCCCTCTGAAAAAGTCACTATAACGGTTTCATCCACTTGACATTAGATGGAATTAATCCTCAACTTGAATATAAAAAAGTCAAAAAGAGTATATTAACGGGCATGCTGGTACAGCACAGATAATGTTGTTCACACACATGAACATCTGTAGAAAAGCCTATCACTTCAAATACAGCATGGAAAGCTGTTAACATATACCTAGGTCAAGAGAAGAGCTATTTAAAAGACTCATGAACTATAGTATGCTGTGGTTGTGAAACTTCCGCTGTAGTCATGAATTGCACTAAAAACCTGGAGTATTGCTATTTTTAACATACAAAACTAGAGTCTCCCACATTTATCAATCTACATACTGTAGCAACCACCAATGTGATCAGGGAACAAATTTAAAACTGGGCACACTAGGCCCATTTTACTGCTTTTCAACAACAAAATCTCTCCTGGACGTAGCTGCTGGATATTTGTGTGGGCATGCATGGCACCTACATATCAAGTGAACACTGTACTTATTTCCAGAGCTCCACTGCACAGTCTGAAGACAAGAATGGGTGACAAAAAATGTCACACAAAATTATCTTTGAATACAGAAAGTAAATCACTAATCTTTAAAATGGTATTGGTAGGTTTTAGAGCAAAACACTCCTAAATGTGAGGGCAAGATCATGTCAATTACATCTGCTGTTTTAATGCATCAGATATATGAACATAAATACTTTTCATGTACACAGAAGTGGAATCCTACAAAAAGGAGAGATTTTAAAATAAGTTGCATTAATAATGTGGCACAATAGATTGTGTGCATTCCTTATTAGTAAATTTAAGGCTATATGAATTAGGTTAGATTACAGCCAAACTGTTTTGACTGATTTTTTATTTATTTTTGCTGAGGTTCATATAGGAAGTTTTTTTTGTTTGTTTGTTTTTGTTTTAAGCACAAAACCAAAAGGATATAAAAAACCTCAGCCATATGTGGCATTGTTAGAGACTTAATTTTTAAACAAGACAAAAAATAATTTGATGGTTTTCTCCCCGCTATCCTATCCCCGAAGGATCATCAGTCAAAACAGATGGCATGAGATTCTTAGACAGCAACAGCCTTTATCATCTGTGGTTGGTACCAATTTTTAGTACTCCTAAGAGACTGGCTTTAAAGTCAACCACTACTTTTTGAGAAAAAAAGTGTATTCTGTAAAGTACATCTTTACTTTCTCTGCCTGTGCCATTAATTCATATTTCAATAAACTGGAATACCAGTTAAGCAAATGATTGACTAGAACAGACTCTTTCAGGCTAACAAAAGGGAGTTCTCCTTCCTTACAGGATAAAAAAAAACCCATAAAAGGACTGTCCAGGCAAGATTCTGCCTTCTGTGAACATATCTGTATACTCATCCTGGAGCTGAAAACAATCCTATGTACCATGCACATGGGGAGAGCATGCCTAAGGTAGCTTTTAAAAAAATTTTTTAATACATATAGAAATTTCTTCCAGATAGTTTTTAAAAGTCTGAGCTGGGGGGGGGGGGGGGAAACTAAGTCAAATAATGTCTGTTCTAGGATAAGGTATATAAAGGCATCCAGATCCACAAAACAAAACAAGAAAAGTATCAGCAGTTATTAGACTTCGAAAATGAAGCAGCTGCATAGCATCAAAAGGGCAAGCTCTGTTTCTTTGAAATACAGAATCCTGTTGGGCGGTTTTGTGTTCGATACAGTAATACATTCTGATCACTTAAAAAAAATAAAGTGACTTTTACTTAAGACTTATTTATCTCCGGAGCAATCAATTAATGTATAAACCTTCCAAACACACTAAGAATATTGGCTATTATATAATTCAGTGTTTCAAACCCTAAGCACATTTTCCAAAATAGCAATCAGCTATTGTTCTACTAAAAAGAACTGAATGGCATGTTCTGCCCTAGGATGCAGTACTGAGGTATGGATTGGATAGAAAGTTTTGAAACAATTTTTGGCTATTCTTCCTGTCTAATGTGCTGGCTTGAAATGGTCTTACTATCATCAGCGGTCCTGGACCATAAACAAAATACAACAGCTAAATGTAATACATTTATGTTCAATAATCATGAATGACTGTAAAAAGAAGTGCAAGTTTAGAGTGAACTGGAAGTGTTGTGTCTTAGTGTTAAGAGGAAGATGCCCTATACCTTTCCTCTGGGAAACAGTTAACTGTACCATCTGCACACCCAAAAATATAAATTATATGCTTAGTATTATGCTAAACTTGTTCTGAGAATAGAAATATAATTAGTTACAAAATCTTGAGTTGACAGTGAAGGTGACCTGTCATTAAGAAAACTGGGTGTGTTCAAATTGTATACAATTTGGTTTTGCAACACCACATTATTCAGATCTATGGTTAACCACAATTTTACACAAAAACTCCACACGGTCCTTGAGATGAGATGCCAAAACATGATTAAGGATAACAGAATGTTCAGTAGGTGGTGCGATTAAGAAGAATGGGCACGGAGCCGCATGGATTGCACTAACATGCCTCCTTATTTGCTATTAGAGAGTCTACTTATGACAGGCTCCTCCACATCATGACTCGGTGACTAATTATAAACTGTAGGACATCAGCTATGTCCTTTGATGACAACTCTGTTAACCATGATGAACATCGAAAATGACTAGCTTGTTCATTTTGTAAAGACATTAAGGCAGAGTCAGTGAGGTATCATATGTCTGCTAAAAAAAAAACAATGGATTACAATCTGAAGTTTTCCTTTTCTCCCCCCACCAATTCTTGATACTGTAAGTTGGAACCAACAAATCTAAGATTCCTCAGAATAAGTATCTTGCCACATTGATTTCCCACATTATTTAATTTCTCCTGGCTTCACTGAAGACAAGCCACACTCACTCACTTGGATAGGAAATGGATATCTAGTTTTCAAAACATTCAGAAATTATCCAGTACTTTCACTAATAACTTACTACCTAACGTCAGATTTCACTGATAGGAGGACTTCAGAGAGACAAGATGGGCGAGGTAATCTTTTAGTGGACCAACTTCTGTTGATGAGAGAGACACAAGCTTTTGAGTTTACACAGAGCTCTTTGGGTCTTCGGCTTGGGCTCTGAAGCCTGGGGATAGGAGTGGGTTTGGGAGCCTGAGCTCCAGCCTGAACCATAACTCCTACACTGCTGTTTTTAGTACTGTAGCTTGAGTCCCATGAGCGTGAGTCTGTAGACCCAGGCTCAGCCTTGCTGCTGTGGGTTTTAAAATGCAGCGTAGACATACCCAGTGTTTCTAAGCCCATGCTTGAACATCCACACTACATTGTAAACCTGTGTTTACAATTGCTGGACCTGAGTCAAACAGCCATGCTAACATGTCCATACTGCACTGTGTAGACCTGCTGACTCGGATCAGTGGCTTGACCTGAGTCACGGCAGGGTTCAGGCTCTGACCCATCCCCCACCAGGGTCCTAGGACCTGGGTCCTGAAAAGCTTGCTGACCCAAGTCAGACTGATTTGTGTGTCTGGATGGAAGAGGGAGGTTGGGCTCAAACGTGAGTCAGTGACTGGGCTTGTGTACAGGGTAGACATACCCTATGCTCCTGGCTTTGCAGAAGCATTCCGTCTCTGGTCAGCCAGGCTGAACTGAAATCTTGCCTAACTTGACAAAAAAATTCTACTTTTTCATGGAAGGCACTTCTGTTTAGAGTCTGACCTATCAATAACTCATGACGCAATTACAGTGTGCATGTGTGTTTATGTATGTATAATAATGGATAGTTACAGCAGGTGAGTTTTGAACAAGCTATTTTCTATTTAACCCAGAGTTTCAGATTTATGGTTCTTTGAAAGGAGTCTGAAATACAGATCTTTAATATGGCAGCATGTTAATAGATTTGTAGGCAAGATGCAGCCCAGAGAAATCTAGATTCTAGTTATAGAATCTGATACATCAGAGTTTTCCATAGATTCTTTTTTCTGGTAAAGAGTCAACTATCATGTGGCTTTAGCTTTTTCTGTTCACTGAATATCAAGGTCAATTAGGAATGATGTCTGGCTAGTACTCTCAGAGCAGATTAGACAGTTGCATCAAAAATTAGGACCATGTATAGGTCATCTGTTACTGTGACCTAGATTTCTGTAGAATCTGTTCTATTTGTTTTATTGAAAATACTGTACTCAGTTCAGTTTCCCTTAGCAAACCTTTTCCATTCTATTAAGAAAACATGGCTCTGTTTGGTTATTTAAAGACCACACTTACTTCTTAAAAACATACGAAGCAGTTCCAGGTAGACCGTCTTGTGCTCGTCATCCATTTAATTTTAAAATAACTTTAGGTTCCAAAGATTTATGCATTATAATGTAAAACATTTGTTCCATATGCCAAGAGCAATACACTTTGAAATACATAATGGCTTAACAGCTGCTTTATTTGCCCTATTTAATACATTTCTTCTGGTGAATCCAATGAATGGATGCATTATATTTGCAACTGTACTTAGCAAACAAAATGGTTGTTAGAAATTTAAGAGAAAAAGTCTAGCTTCCAGTCTTACATGTGCATCATTTTGCATGAACCGCCAAACATCCCGGCACACATGCTGACGGGAGAGCTTGCTCAGAGAACAGTAAGGAGCTGCTGAAAGGGGCACGGGCCAGCAGTCCTGTGCCATTAGATTTCAGTTTTATTACAAATGAAGATACATGGCCTTGTTTGACTTGCGAGGTTTTTTTGCTCTTTGCATTTTGATGCAGATAAAGCAGCAGATTCACCTGTGTTTAGTAGGCTGCCAGTTTGGAGCCACATAAGAATTCGGAAGAGTTTAATGAGAAGTAAGGTTCCCCTTTTTAATTGGAAAATCATCATTGAATTTTAGTTCACAGCAGGCAATTCCATGTAGACCCTGTATACTCCAAAGTCCGTGCCACAAGTATTTCAGAAAAAAATAAGTGACTAAATATGTAGAAAGGTTTTCTAACAAAGCCAATCAACTGAGTAACTCTCCATGGAGGAGGAAAAGGTGTTGAATCAATTCAGAATTAGCAGCAGCAACATGCTCACTTTTACTATTTAAAACATTTTAAAACCCAGTATAAAAATCATTACTATCTGCAATCGCTATAGAAAGTACATTGTGGTGGGATAACCAGGGCTCAAAATGCATCTAAAATAGTTCTGATCTGACATACTGACCATACAGCAGAACACGAAGGTGCATAAAAGCAAGAGAGTCATACTATTTCAGAACGAACCATTCAGCTGTGAAATACAATAATGTCAAAAGATTATTCCCATGTTAATATCCTCTGTATGTTATGGTTTAAAAAAAAAAAAAGACTGATCAGTAATCTGAAGTTTAATGAACCATTCCCAATTCTTATAAAATTCTAAAATTCATTCATTCTAATTATGTGCATTTTATGCTACTTTCATTTGCAAACCTTTCTGTGCAGTTGTTAGCCCATCAACATTATTTCATAATTACAAGGAAAGCAAAACAGAAAACCAGAAGTATTTGGATAAAATAGCTGGACCCAAGACCTTTATACATACATACATACATACATAATAAACAACACACACACACACACACACACACACACACACACACACACCCATGTGTGTATCTTTTCTTGCCATGCTAACCTATGCCATGCTCACCTACACCGATTTAATGTATAATTCGGCAAAGAAAAGCATTCTGCTTACATGGGCTTCATACCAATATACAACCAATATTTACATAAGCACACATTTACAAATGGAAATCAAATATTTACAAGGAAACACCCCTTGCTTCTCACAGAATAACTACAGTATTGATACTCGCATTGCCACCAGATGTAATTTGTACTGCTTTATTTTCTCAAAATCTTGTTTAATGGCAACAAGATGTTTTGAAGATGTTTTTCCTTTACAAAAATTTTAACAGCACAGAAATAGTCACATAAGTACACATGTTCAGTAGCTGAGTGGCGTTTCAGTCATGTGGGGAAAAAACTGTCATTGAAATACCACATTTTCAATGTATTTAGTCATAGTGATATCTGCCTGCCAATGTCTATACATATAACACCACACGTAAGGCCTATAAGTGATGGATTTGCTACTGTAGCTCTGGTAATGCTGTCATATATGCGCTTTCTTCCCTCTTTTCCCCCTGTATGTTTGGAACTGCAGATACCTTGGAGTGCATAAATTTTAAAAAAGTGTTCACTTATGCATGATGAAAAAGGATCTTGACGCAGAATATATATTCTGCATAAATTATGCAAGAATCATCAAAAACCTGAAAAACCAAAAAAAAAAAAAAAAGTATTTTAGACTGCAAGACTATTCGCTACAAGAAATTCACTAAAGGTATTTTCCTGCAATCTAAATCCTTAGACCGCCTAAATGATTCACTTCACAATTACACTAATTTTTTTTTATAAAATCCTAATTATTTTTCTTCTATAATTTTGCATAATATATCTTTAGTGTTAATAGGGAAGCCAGATATCTGGGAATCCAAATAATTTTGAATACTCTGAAATGCTGTTCACTTGGTACCAAAGTTTTCCATCATTGTGAATACTTATCTAACACCTGTTACAGCCTTGTATTTACAGACTATTTAAAGAAACAGACCCCAGTTGTGTTACACTGCCACCCCTTTATGCTACTCCAGCGACAGAACCAGTCACCAGGGAATACATCCAGCACAATGTGGCAGTCAGCAAAGAGCTGACAAAGCCTCTACATCAGCCCCCTTGACATCCCTCAGTGTGCTGGACATCCCTGGGGACTTGGCCAAAGCGCTACTGCGTTCTGGACATTCTTGACTGTAAAAACTGCCTCTTGGAGGCTGTTGCAGTTAACGGTGCTTAAGACCAGTTCTGATGATGAAATTGTGTTGGGGCTGGACAAGCCTCAGAAGACCTGAAAACATTAAAGTGCAAAAGTGGTTTAAAGTTAATTCTTCCCCCAGCCTCTTCCCCATTCCTTTGTTCAGAAGATCTCATCTGGTCTAAAGTCTCTGCATACAAGAAGTTTATTATAAAGAATACATCTTTTATATAAAGGCCTCCTACTAAACTTTTCCCCAAAAGGGATATTACCACAGCTTGATAGCTGAAAATCATGGAAATGTAAGGGTGTAAGGGATCTCGAGAAGACATCAAGTCCAACCCCCTGAGCTAAGGCGGGACCAAGCAAACCTAGACCATCCCTGACAAGTCCAACCTATTCTTAAAAACCTTCAATGATGGAGATTCCACCCTTAGAAGCCTATTCCAGAGCTTAACTATCCTAACAGTTAAAGTTTTTTCTAATATCTAACCTAAACCACCGTTGCTGCAGATTAAGCTCCATTACTTCCTGTAATATCTTCAGTGGACATGGAGAACAATGGATCCACATACTCTTTGTAACAGCCCTTAACATATTTGAAGACTTATCTAGTCCTTCCTTCGTTTTTTTTTTCTTCCCCCACAAGACTAAACACGTCCAGGTTTTAACTTTTCCTAATAGGTCAGGCTGTCTAAACCTATCATTTTTGTTGCTCTCCTCTGGAATTTCTATTTGTCCATATCTTTCCTAAAATGTGGTGCCTAAAATTGGACAGAGTACTCCAGTTAAGACCTCACCAGTGCTCAGAAGAGTGGGACAGTTACCTCCCGTGTCTTACATACAACATTATGTAACATTCCTGTTACTATACCACAGAATATTAGCCTTTTTGCAGCTGCATCACATTGTTGCTACTGTGACCCCTTTTCAGCATTACTACCTCCTGCCCAATTATTCCTCATTTTGTAGTTGTACATTTGACATTTCCATTCTAAGTGCAGTACTTTGCGTTTATCTTCATTGAATTTCATCTTGTTGAATTCAGACCAAATTCTTCAACTGGTCAAGGTCATTTTGAATTCTAATCTTGTCTCCCAAAATGCTTGCAATACTTCCCAGGTTGCTTATAAAATTTGCAGAAAAAAAAATATATCACTCCCCACTCCATTATCCAAGTCATTAATGAAAATATTGACTAGTACCAGGCATAGGACTGACCCCTGTGAAACCCCACTTGATATGCCTGCCCAGTTTGACAGCAAGCCATTGATAACTACTCTGAGAACAGTCTTTCAACCAATTATGCATTTACCTTTTAGTAACTTTGTGAGAGACTGTACTATATTAATTGAGAAAAAAATATTATAGTTTATATGACCAATGATGTGTTAGTGACCAAGAGTCAGGATACCAGAATCTACATCTAGCATGGTTCATTGAAACAAAATTCTAGATGGCTTCATATGAAGATACAATAGAGATTTTGCATTTCTTCCTTTGTCCCATTTTTATGTATGTACAACACATTCGATTAAAATATGGCTCAACCAGACTGTTTTCTGTAAATGAAGACATGAATCTATAAATAGTACATCCAATAGCTGCTCCTAGAGAATTAAGGTTTTCCCTAGCATTTTAAATACTACAAAGGTTGCTTCTAACGTACCCAGAATTTCTCCCCCAGCCTCCCATCCCCACTTTGCTTACATAACTAGGATAGTAGAATTTAGCAGCAGTCACCTGCTGTAATAAGTAACCATTATTTTACACATACACACCTCCCAGGAAATAATCTTCTGTCTCAGAGAAGTGTTATATTTAAAGATAAGCTTTAAATTTTGTGTAAGAACATGCAAGTGATTTTGTACCTTGATCCTTTACTCGTTTTTCTATCCATTGGTAATAGGACAAGTTACTTTTTTTCTTTTGAGCATTTTGCACTTAATTTCCTTCCCCTACTTTTTATTTCAGAATCCATGCATGTTCTGCTCTTTGCAGATATATCTTGTAATGAAAAAGTTCTCTAAAAATTAAACATGATATTGCAGTTTCAGTTCAGAGAATGTATACTTCTACTACAATATACACTAATGCCCCATTAGGTAACTGGGAGCAGTGCATGAATACCGAGAGTCATCTTGGTTTTTCCTCATCTTCCCAAGAATGCTTCATGTTCTACTGACATCTTTACAAGAAAAATGCAGTGACATCAGATACATTTTACCATAGTCAAACCCCATTTTAACAGCAGAGAAATCTTCCTATGGAATAGAAAAAGTTCTCTAAAGCTACTGTTCTCCATGCTGAAGCACTTCTGGTTGCAAGGCTTCGAGCACATGGCATCAGGGGAACTATACAAAACTCTTAACTAAGATTCTGTTTCTTGATTAAAAACCATTAACCAGGTGCTGTACATGCCTTGAGGATATGAATACTATACCCATTCATTGACAATCAAGTTTATTTTCACTCTAGGTGCTAAGTGAAGCATTAGAGTAAATCAACTGTGTGGGAGAAGATCAGAGTGTGTATCCAGAAATACTCTCCTCACAGACCTTGTGTAACTGATTTTTTTAAAATATTTATTCCTCTATGGCCCCTGACTAGAAGAGACTATTAAACTAGAAGGTTCCCTCCATATTTCTCATATTCTTGCAAAACCATTCTGATTGTTGAATTTTGTATTCATTCT